TGGCACACCGAAGTAATGTGAAAAAAAATGTAACAGTTGCGAGTATACAACTAACTTCAACCATTGGCCAGAATGTATCATTTATCCATTTGCCATATCTACCATTTATCTGAAATTTCAAAAGTCACAAAAATAAATTTAAGTAATTAACTTCTACTTCAATTTAAATAGCTATTTATCTTTCTCATCATTACTATTAGTTCTCTATTAAATCATGATGGGAGATCAAAAGTTTCTCGAAATTTCCAGAACGCACACACAAAGAGACTAAAGCAATAGACAAAAGTACTGCGGAACCCGTTAAAACTAATTAAGAAACGGAGGAATGAAGTGCGCTAAAGAATTCCAAACCGTATTGTCGTACATTTGTTTGGAACAAGTAAGGTTAATTAGAATCGGGAAACCAATTGAAATTTAAATATTTGCTTATGTTTTCTTTCGCTCTTCAAAACAAACCGTCTTGACGGCTTAACTGAAACCATTAAATCCTTAATTGAGAGTGTCAAGTAGAATTCGCTTTTAAATTCTGTTTGTGTAGTTAAAAGATTATTAAATGCTTTTAGATAATTGCGGAAATGAAATTATTCCGTCTATAATGAAATTATCTGAGAAATTGGGACCTTTTTGTGTAATCTATTTACTACTTTTTTTAACTATGTCTGTTAAACTATAAAATTAATTTTATTATTCAAAATTAATTTATCAGGGATGAGTAATTTCAATTCAACCCATTATTACCCTCCGATTCAGTGTTAGAATTTTTATTCCAAAAACTACGGTAAAATAACCGGTAGCAATCTGTCCATCCAGCTAACAGTAAAGTTTACGGTAAAAAATATTTGTTACTTTTACGGTTTTGAAACCGTTTACAACTAGCATGGTTTCAAAATTATAAAAGAGAAATTCTACTGGACATGGAAGCTAGGTTTTTCGTTAATTTAATGGGCATTGAAGTTAGATTATGGTTGAGAGTTTATCCAATGAACCGTGGATTGTGGTTTAATTAGTTTATGTAGTTGTTTCATTTGTCGTTCGAGATGCGAAATACTAAACTTTTTCGTACTAAGCAGTTTTATGGTGCTGCCATCTATGTATGAATGAGAGTATCGCATTCCAATAATCCAGGATCACAAATTAGAAGTGAAAGACATTGAAAACTCTTAATGTTCTGAAGGGTATGGAGAAAATATTGCGGTGTCAACGCTGGGATTCGAACCCTCATTCTGTCAATCATGAAATTGACAGATTAGCCCTCTTGGCTATAATATATACCTAGCTACAAGGAACTCAGTGGTTTCATTAGGTGGTCCTAGTTGGAGCATTAAATTTCTGGTTGTTTAGCCGTTTTATGTAAAAGCAGGTAATAAGTAGTTTTTCTGACAGTCAACAGTTTGAATACCATCTTATTTATAGTTATTTAACTATTTTGCTTGAATATCATAAAATAACAATAAAATTTTTATTTAGCAGCTTTTTTTCGAGAAATTTCTAACAGTGCTGCCTAAAAATTCTCAAAAAGTTTATAAATGTTAATGTAAAGAAAAACAACTTCATTCTTGTTCATTCTTAAAACTGTCTTTTCAAATTTTAAATTTGCTATTACATATTATAAAATCATAAGTTTAGTATATTTTGTATTCAAAATTAAATAATGATTTACATTGAAAAAGTATTTAAAATTTAAGAACTAACAAATCAAAATTATGCATTTTCTTAAATTTCATCTCTTCCAAGTTGGTTAGATTTTATATTCATTTCTACTTAACAATTTTATAATCTAATTAAATTTAAAACAAAGGTAGCTGGATTTGTTAAATTAAGTTCTATTAAGTTCTAGGTTGATGTGCTAAAATTCCAAAGTCATAATAAAAAAAAAAAGTTTAACTCAACTTTGTGTTGTCATAAATTTGACATAAGTTCTAAATTTAATTAAAATTTTAATGCAAATATTTGTTAGGAAAATATCATTGTACTGTAAAATTCTTATATTTTATAAACATTTAAAAAATACTGTAACTTTAATAAAAGAATATATAATAGAACTTTTACTTTTTTTTTAATCTTTATACTATCTTCTAAATCAATAAAACGATTTTGTTTTCCTAAATAATTTGGGAGTCAGCATAACGTAATTTTATTGATGTGTTAGATATTGATACTTACAATACTTTTATATGTTTTATGATACTTTTATACGATATTTTTATGATAGCAACCGAAATAAAGCTTCATTCTTTTTCCATTTTTATCCAAAAACATTACTATAAATTAAAACTGCAATTTTATATAATAACTTGATAGCTTCTGTAATTGATTAAGTTTGCAATTTTAGTTAATCACTAATTTAAGAAACATTTTTCAAAATCCTAAATTTTGTTACGAAGCGTTTTTCACATTAGGAAAAAGAACATTTTTGGCTGATATGTTTAAAAAGTTTAAAAGGCATATCAAAAATTCATAGTAATCTAAAACATTAAGTATACTCAAAGACATTAATTATGCATTTTTAATGCATTTTTAGTTGGCAACTGGTAATTCATTTAGTTGTCTGTTATTAACGTTAGTACAAAGATTTTGGCTACCTATTTCCACAATAATTAATATCCGCTTAGCAGTTGATTTGAAATGTTTACAATTACAATGTTAAAATGTTACAACATTACAATGTTCATGTTCACCATCTGGATAAAACACCTGATTAATTCATGCTTTTAATGTGTTTTGATGTTTTTTACATGTTTTTAATTGATGTTTTCAACAGTTAAGAATAATATTTTAGGAAAAATAAAACATGATTTTTAAACAAATTTAATAATGAAGTTTTAAACCATTGAAACTTAAATATTGTTCACATTTTGAAATAAAAAATTAAGATAATTTTGTTTTTTAAGCTTTAAATGTAAATTTAATGCTTAAAAAGAAAGTTAAAACTTATAGTGGTATAATTTTCGTACTGCTAATATTTAAGACATTTTAAAATTACTACAAATCAATTATTACTATTTAATAAACTCACTAAAATATATAAAATATACAATATATATATATATATATAAAAGTTAAAATATTGAGAAAACATGGAAAATAATAATTATTAATGACAAGAGAAGAAGAAAAATTATTAAAATAAAATCATTTTTTTAAAATATTAAAAAAAATTTATTATTTAAGATAATTAAAAATGAAAAAAAAAACTTAAAATTCGGAAAACAAAATAAAAATAATAAAGATAAATAAATATTTTTTGTGTGCTCCTCACACTATTATATTGAAATATTTCGCTTTGGCTATACCGATACCATAATAGAAAATACTGCTTTTTACGGATATAATCGTGTGAGCTGATGAAGAAATTATATCTTTTCCTCATTTTTCCTTTCCTGATTTTTAATAAGTTTTTTTAAATAAATAAAAAAAATTTAAATATTTTTAAAAATGATTTCATTTTAATAATTTTTCTTCTTCTCCTGCCATTAATCTTTATTATTTTCCATATTTTCGCAATATTTTATCTTATTTTCTATATACTTGCAACTTATGCGTAGTTAATAAAACTTATAAATTTCTCTTTTCTTTTAATCCTCCTTATATGTATAGGGGAGAGTCGGGTAGCCCCGCTCACTTAAGGAGTATTGCTTATATTTCTGTATAATACTGAGTAATAATCAACATATTTGTATGTTTCTATTGTTTTATCATCTAATTAANTTGTATAGGGGAGAGTCGGGTAGCCCCGCTCACTTAAGGAGTATTGCTTATATTTCTGTATAATACTGAGTAATAACACAAGCCTGCGAAATTGAACTTTTTGAAAAATACAAGAGAAGTTATTGTTGATTTATAAGTTATTTGATGTGCTGATTTCGAAAATGACCTTTATTTTTCCCAATCACATCAGGATTTTTTAAAAAATCGATATCTATGTTTTTACTAAAATCCTAATTGGAAAGGAATTCTCTCAAACAATTTTGCATGTACTGTCCGGTAACTGTTCTCTTCATTCATTTTGATCTATGTAAAATTTAATCTTGTGAAGGAAAAATTATTTTTGAGCTATCAGCTAACTTTTTATATGTTAAAATGAATGGAAAATACTGTTACCAGACAGCAGAAGTTACTTCTGGTCGAGAGACAAACAATAAGTTCCTTGTGTTCAAACTTTTTACATCGGTTTCTAGAAGAAAATCACCAACATGCCATTTTAATTTGTTTTTATTGAGATAACTTACGTAAAATAGACGATTATTCAAGAATAACAAATATTGCGTATGTGTATATGAAAGTTTGAAACAAAAATAAAAGCAAGTAAAAAACAGAAGAGAAAAGTTTCTATTTCAGTATGTACTCGTTTTCCCCTGAAATTTATTTTTGATTATCTTCTTTTATGCTTAATCTCATGTTTATTCCGAGCTATCATCCAACAGTAGTCAGCGAGCATGTTCTTGTCCCATCTTCCTTGATATTTACGCTCCATATCTCTGATATCTTGATGGAACCTTTCCCCTTGTTCTTCGCTGACTACTCCTAAATTTCGAGGGAAAAAGTCCACATGTGAGTGAAGGAAATGCATTTTTACACTCATGGAGCAACCCAACGTTTTAAATTTGTCCAGCATTTTCATTACGATTTCCTTATAATCAGGATCCTTGTAATTACCCAGAAATTTACTGACGACATCTTTGAAAGCAACCCAAGCTTCTTTTTCCGTTTCTGTCATGTTAATCTGAAATTCTTTATCCTTCATGAGTTTGCGGATATCTGGATCAACAAATATTCCTTCTTTCAACTTAGCTTGGTATAAAACTGGAAACTTTTTGCACAGGTTTTTGAAACAATTGCCATCTTTTGGAACAGCCTTGACAAACTGCTTCATTACACCTAATTTTATGTGTAGCGAAGGTAACAATACTTTTTTTCGGATCAACTAGGCTGTTTCGAATAACGTTCTTGGTGCCTGGGTCATGATTTTGTCTTTTCGGCCATTCTTTTTTGACAAATGTTTAAGTCTTGTCACGGCTGTCCCACTCATAAATGAAACATGGGTACTTTATAAATCCCCCTTGTTGACCAAGAAGCAGTGAGATGACTTTCAAGTCACCGCAAATGGTCCAACTGTGGACGATATATTTTATTTTGTTCAGGACGAGAGTCAGGTTTTCGTAGCATTCCTTTAAATATACTGAGTGTCCAACTGGTACTGATGCATACTGGCTCCTATGATGAAGAAGAACAGCTTTGAGGCTTCTTTTAGATGAATCTATAAACAGCCTCCACTCATCTTTATTGTAGATGACATTAAATTTGCTCATCAATCCAGGAACATCAGAACAATAGACCAAGTTCTCCTCTTCATCAAAGTACTTAATAAATTTCTTTTCACCATTCTTGTACCAATAAAAAGATGGTCCTTTGGCCAATAAGTTTTTTTTTTCAGTCTGGAGCCCAACAATTCAGCTGCCTCTTTCGAAAGGCCAAGACTTAAGCTCAACCTGAGAGGAGGGCTGAGGTAAACCGGCTAGAGATGGTTTATATTCAATATCGGAGCCTTGAACTTCTGGATGTTCCGAGTCTGAAGACTCTGAAGAGATGATTGGTAATTCAGTTAGAGGCAAAGGCACAGGCACATCAGGTCCGTGAGGAACGGGGCGTATGGCCGATGGAATGCTATCAGGATAAGATATTAATCTTTGATTCTTTCGGTTATACCCTCGAACATGGCAGGAACAGAAATAACAATCATCAAAGTGGTTTTGGGCTCCCTCCACGTCATAAGAATTCCAAATCGTAAAGCAGTCTTCTTTCCTTGATGCCATAAGAGTAGATCATAAGACGCTGCACATAAACTTTATGAGGTGCCCAAGATTTGTCCTGATCTCCGAGTTTCATGCCAAAATATGCTAGATAAAGGTGTCTTACATAGCCTGTAATGCTCCTCATGCGATTTTTAGCAACTCTATATTCGCCGTATGTATAACAAAAGTCATCTGGGAAATTTTTACCATGTCTTGAACTCAAAGCCATGTTTCAGGAAACGCACAGAAAAAAGCAAACTTTAAAATGACTCCCTATTACACTTGCTAGTGTTTTTGAGAGGTCAGCGAGCCTAGATAAGGATTCTCGCGACGCTATTGGAAGAGAGACATTGTTACAGAAATGGGATGGTGACAGGAAGTAGTGATAGAGGGGTACTTTTGAAGATTTGACCAAAGTAGAATCCTGGTCAGTCAAGAAGGGAAGAAATTCAAAAACGAAAAATTTTTTATGGTAAATGTTCATAAAAATTCCAGTAATATTGAATTTTTATAAAAAACCTGACGTGATGGACATTTTTCATTACTATTTTCCATTTCAGCACCAAAAAATACATTACATTAAGTTCAACTATCAGACCCCTTGTATTTTTTTCATCGCAGGCCTGTGTAATCAACATATTTGTATGTTTCTATTGTTTTATCATCTAATTAAATAATGCAAAAAGAATAAACCAAAAAAAGAATAGTTAAACTTAAAAAAATAGAAATTTAAAAAAACATGTTTTTCAGCTCTTTTCAAAATGTGTCGGGTAGCCCCGCCCAGTTACAAAAATTGTGTTTTTTGGCTATTTTTTCAGGAGTAAATGAGAATGACCAATGTATTGACAATAGATAAACCTCATTTATCATTTTTATCAGACATAGGAAATTCCTTTGTGNTTTTCTTATTATTAAGATATATATATATATATATTCATATACAAAATGTTTAAAGAAATTTTAAAGTCTACTTAGTTGGTAATATGTTAACAAATTATTATTAATAAGTTTTATTAACTACGCCTAAGCTGCAGGTATATAGAAAATAATATAAAATATTGCGAAAATATGGAAAATAATAAAGATTAATGGAAAATTTTAAAGTCTACTTAATTGGTATTATTACAACAAATTATTATTAATAAGTTTTATTAACTACGCATAAGCTGCAAGTATATAGAAAATAAGATAAAATATTGCGAAAATATAGAAAATAATAAAGATTAATGGCAGGAGAAGAAGAGAAATTATTAAAATGAAATCATTTTTAAAAATATTAAGAAAAATTTATTATCTAAAATAATTAAAAATGAAAAAAAATTAAAATTCGGAAAGCAAAATAAAAACAATAAAGATAAATAAATATTTTTTTGTGTGCTCCTCACACTATTATATTGATATATTTTGCTTTGGCTATACAGATACCATAATAGAAAGTGCTGCTTTTTACGGATATAATCGTGTGAGCTCATGAAGAAATTATATCTTTTCTTCATTTTTTCTTTCCGGATTTTTAATAAGTTTTTTTAAATAAATAAAAAAAAAATTAAATATTTTTAAAAGTTTTATCATTTTAATAATTTTTCTTCTTCTCTTGTCATTAATCTTTATTATTTTCCATATTTTCTCAATATTTTATTTTATTTTCTATACATATATATTCATATAACATATATGAAATGTTTAAAAAAATTTAAAAGCCTACTTAATTGGTAATATGTTAACAAATTATTCCATGAGTAAGAAATTATAAAGTATCTGAAAAATTTTACATATTACCTTCGTTAAATGATGATTCTTTACCACCATTTTCATACCAAAATCTGTCCCCTAACTTGAGACGTCGAAATTGTTCGGCAATAATGCAAGCAAATGTTGGACCCAGTATAGAATCTGGCAAAGGAGTTTCTGCACTTCCAGCTGGATACAAGTCGACATCATCTACATTCCTAAAAAGTGCATCAGCAAAAGTTATAATAAAAGTTGATGTGCAACTAGTAGTACGTGTTTTTCTTAACTTCAAAACTTAAACTTCTTAACTACTTTTCTTTTCTTTTTCAACTTTTAAAACTTTAGCTTCTTAACTTCGTATTTTTCTTCTTATAGTGATAATTCTTTCTATTAGATTGTCTTATGTAATAAATTAAGTAGTGTTAAAAAAATAAGTTTCGCATTAAGAATTTATTTACATTAATTTTGTATTTTTATAAAAAAAAAAACTAAGTTGCGAAGTAATTATTTAGATTTATTTTTGATCCCTTCTAAAATGGCTGCACAAATTATAAACTTAAACGTTGTTTTGATGCCGCATACTGCCATACGAATTATTAATGACGGAGCTTGCCTTTTTCGAGCTATATATTATACGTAGCCTTGGTATAATATATAGCTCGGGATAGAGCGTTCGCCTTCCAATGAAATGAACCACTTTCGAATCCCAGCGATGACTGGTCTATACGAATTCCGCACCCGACTCACACCGATTACAGTGTTGACTTAAAATATCCTCAGAAGTAGATGATTAATGGACCCCTTGCTATCAGTCTTTCCGTGGGAGCTTTTCGCAGTTTTCCTCTCCATGTAACGCAAATGCGTGTTAGTTCCATCAAAAATTCCTCCTCGAATTTCTTCCCATACTTGATTTAGGAGTTACCTTGTCTTCTGGATTGAGTTCAAAATTACAAGGCTACGGAGTTGAACATTAGTAGTCGCAAACTTAAGGAATTGGGTAGGTTGCTCAACGACGGATATAAAATAAAATTTAAAAATATTAAACGATACTCAATTTTTAATTCGAGAGGTGCGGGAGGAAGTTGCAAGTAATGGGTTTTCTAATGGGTTGAGATTTCTATTTTATCACACGTCGGAGATGGAAATAATTTCAATACTTCAGTTGCATACCATACGAAAATGTTCCTAACTCATATTTGCTGTGATTTCAGTAATTTAATAGGTGTTTGAAAGACTTAGCTTTATTACTAAAATTCAATGGATAAAGTAGTTCGCTTACGTCGCACTAGAGCTGCACAATGGGCTATTGGCGACGGTCTGGGAAATGTCCCAGAGGATGAGCCGAAAACATGCCATCACAATTTTGATCCTCTACAGAGGGGATGGCACCCCCACTTTAATAGCCCTGCACGCGAAGTCAAGCACTTTACGGAAGAACAGTTTAACAAGAACCGATACAGCACACCCTCGGTCCCTACGCAGGCTGATCCAAGTGGTCACCCACCTGCACACTGACAGCCAGCAGCCAGTGATGCTTGACTTCGGTGATCTGCTAGAAACCGTGTTTTAACGATCAGTCCACTGCGGGATCAATGGATAAAGAAATTGAACAATAGCGTGGATATCTCTTTAAAATGTTTAAAATCTAAATCAAAGTACAAAAGCTTGGCAACAGCTTGACAGTAAAAGAAATGCTTTACTTATTATTAAAAACTATTCAAGATCTTAGGATTAGAGAAGTGATTGAAGAATTGGAGTAATGCAGTTGAACTGTGCATTCGGATAAGTTATTTTAAAAATTTTTTTGTTATGCGAGATAATTTTGAAAGGTGACCAAGCTGGTTGCCAAAGGCCACTTGTCTATTGTTATTATATTTATGTGGATTAAGGTAATACTTTATTTTGAAAAAAAATTTCAAAATTTATATTTTAAAAGGTTATGTTAAATGCTTTGTAAGTTTTTTGTTAAAACCTTTTTATATAGCGTAAACTGCAAAAAAATCGCTTTCCAACAACATTATTTTGAAAATATTTTAAAGGAAATATTACCATAAGTTTTTTTACAGATATTATAATATTTTTACGTTACTGTTTTTTCATAGATTATAAATGCAATTTTCTTCAGGGTTATCTTACATTAGTACTTTAATTTCAGTAATATTAAACATAGAAAATGTAAACTATTGTGAAATATAGAGCAATAACAAATTAAGATATTATGAACAGAAAAGAATTTTTTTTACCGAAACAAATCATGAATATGATTGAAAACTACAGTAATATAAAACTAATTTAGGAAATATAAACTATTGTGAAATTTAAAACAATAACTAATAAAAATATTAGGAACCGAAAAGAAATTTTAAATCAAACAAAATCACGAATATGAATGAAAACTACAATAATATAAAACTAATATAGAAAATGTAAACTATTATTAAAAACTAAGAAATAACAAATTAAGATATTACGAATAGAAAAAAAATTATTTATCAAAAAAATCATGAATATGAATAATAAGGTCAAGTAATATAAATGTGTATGAAATAAAGAAAATATGAATTTGATAAAATTAAATTATAAATTTGATTTGAGCTATGTGATTATGATTTTATACGAAATAATAAACAAAATGGAAATCAAGAAAAGAAATTAGAGTTTAGGAAATTCAGAAAATTTGAATAAAATTTTAAAGGTGAATGAAATTATAAATTTGTTTTAAACTTAATAAAATTATTCCAAATTTGATAAAATTATGATTTGAGTTGAAATTGTTATAATTTTTTCAAAAATTTTATTTAAATAACCCTAAATTTGTAGGAAACTAAATTTGAATAAAACTTTCAAATTCTCAATTTGAAGGAAATCTTTCTATCATGAATTCAAATTAAACTTTTATAGATTATAAAACTATAAGTTTAAATGAAATTATGAGTTTAAATTAAAGCAATGAATTTAATATTGAATTATGAAAATATTGAAATTTTAATGAAATGATTATAAACTTGAATAAAATTATGCAATTTTCTGAAATTAAATGCGAATGAAATTATTCCTTTTTTTGGAACTTAAATTATAAATTAAATTATAAATTAATTATAAAATTGCAAATTTAGTTAGAATTAGGAATTTAAATGCTTGTATGAAAGTTGTTAAAAATTATAAACCTGAACAATGTCATAATCTCCGATTAAATTATGAACTTAAATGAATTTCTAATTTGAATAAAACTTTGCTTGTAAGATAAAATGATAGAAGGTATGAATAATTTTTAATAGATAATTAAAACAATAATTCATTTTTGTATGAAAACTAAAACCCAGCTCTAATAACAAATTTTGTTTGTTCATTTTTTCTTAAATTAATAAGAATTGCGCTATTATAAACTTAACTAATTATAAACTCTATTATTATAAACGCTATCATTGAAACTTTGCTTGTAAAATAAAAGGATAGAAGATATGAATAATTTTTTTATAGATAACTAAAACAATAATTTACTTTTACATGAAAACTAAAATCTCGCGATAATAACAAATTTTGTTTGTTTATTTTTTCTTAAATTAATGAGAATTGCGCTATTATAAACTTAACTAATCATAAACTCTATTATTATAAACGCCATCATTGAAACTTTGCTTGTAAAATAAAAGGATAGAAGATATGAATAATTTTTTTATAAATAATTAAAACAATAATTTATTTTTACATGAAAACTAAAATCTCGCTCTAATAACAAATTTTGTTTGTTCATTTTTTCTTAAATTTATGAGAATTGCGCTATTATAAACTTAACTTATTATAAACTCTATTATTATAAACGCTATCATTAAAACTTTGCTTGTAAAATAAAAGGATAGAAGATATGAATAATTTCTTATAGATAATTAAAACAATAATTTACTTTTGAATGAAAACTAAAATCTAGCTGTAATAACAAATTTTCTTCTTTTTTTCTTGAAATAATGAGAGTTACATTATTATAGGCACATATATAGTTAAAGCTTACCTGTATAGCCTGCTGAAATTTCTAGCCGCTGTTGGATTCATGACGGTGAGTAGATCTTCGAAATTGCGAAGACGAGGCAAACCACAGTATTCACGCCACTCATTGTAGCCCGATAATCCGTGATCACGACCCCTTTGAATATTCAAAGCAATCAGGTCTAATCCATGACCACCCATACTGAACAATCTTCCACTCAGCTATGAACAGCAATTTAATGTTAGTTATAGATTTAACAATATTGTCTAAATTTACAAATGATTTTCCAAGCTTAATAATTTGTAAACACTATTTTGAATTCATTGTATTAATCTAGTCATTGACTATTAAAATGCAAGAGCAACAGAAAAAGTATTATAGCATCTCGAATTTATAAAAAACGATTTTATTTTTAAAAATATACAGAATTGCTCATAAGACATTAAATATTAGCTTTTGTTAACCGATTCTTGATTTTTGAAAAACTGTAAATTACATTCCATTTTTTAATAGGTAATAGTAAAAAAATGAATTCATATATTATAAAAGCCTATCATTTATTTGTTCATGTATAAAAATAGGTGCACATTATACACGTTTTTAGATTTGAAAATTCCTGTGTCCACATTTGGGAAACTTTAACTAATTTTCAATTTATGTTATTTTTAAGATCAATTTTAATATCTTCTATAGAAGACAACTGATCAAACGCTGATTGTAGTATGGTTTATTATTATTATTATTATTATTATTATTATTATTATTATTATTATTACAATACCTTACAGAAAAATGGCATAAAAAGTAACACAAATTTCTAGCTATGTAAAATGTGTAACACAGTTTCAATTTCTGCTACAGAAGACAACTAATCAAATACCGATTGTAGTATGGTTTATTATTATTATTATTATTAGGCATTAAGTGTAACACAAATTTCTGATATAAAACGTAACTTTTTCTATAGATTCTACAGTGCTGATTTCAAATGTTATAAATTATTATTATTATTATTATTTTAAAACCTCGCAAAGAAATGGCATAAAGTGTGACACAAATTTTTCATATCAAACAGAACTTTTTCTATAAACTTTGAACTGCTAATTTTAAATATTTTAAATTATTATTATTATATTGAACTATAAATTGAAACTAAAATTTCTATATCAATTCAACTCAAAATTATTTTCCATTATTCTTTCTGTTATTAATGCTAAAGAAAAAAATTTTCCTTTATGGATGGTTCACTATTTTTTTTATTTTATTTCATTTTTTATTCTATTCTATTTTTTGGAGAATAAAGCGTAGTAACATTTTTTTGCGGCCCCTCTAGTCTATTCGGCACATTTAACGCGCAATATCCCAGAAGCCGAATTATTGCAGAACCATGAGTGAACAAAAGATAAAAACATGTTTAAATTCAGTTCCTCAAAATCAATAGAAATTTTATTTAATGACAAATTTTTAAAGCAAAATAAGCAGAAAAAGTGAAAAAGTGCGAACTTGAAGCTTATAAGTACAAAAGCGATTCAAATTTTAAAACCTCTTAGCTCGTGCTTATGTTTCGATGCCCAGTAAGCATATGTATTTAAAACTATTTACACTGCCTTTCATTTTCTTTAGACAAAAAGTATTTAAATATTTTATAAAAAAAAATTAGNTCAATTTCTGCTACAGAAGACAACTAATCAAACACCGATTTTAGAATGGTTTATCATTATTATTATTATTATTATTATAAGACCTCGCGAAGAAATGGCATAAAGTGTAACTCAAATTTCTAGCCATGTAAAATGTGTAACACAATTTCAATTTCTGCTACAGAAGACAACTAATCAAACACCGATTTTAGAATGGTTTATCATTATTATTATTATTATTATTATAAGACCTCGCGAAGAAATGGCATAAAGTGTAACTCAAATTTCTAGCCATGTAAAATGTGTAACACAATTTCAATTTCTGCTACAGAAGACAACTAATCAAACACCGATTTTAGAATGGTTTATCATTATTATTATTATTATTATTATAAGACCTCGCGAAGAAATGGCATAAAGTGTAACTCAAATTTCTAGCCATGTAAAATGTGTAACACAATTTCAATTTCTGCTACAGAAGACAACTAATCAAACACCGATTTTAGAATGGTTTATCATTATTATTATTATTATTATTATAAGACCTCGCGAAGAAATGGCATAAAGTGTAACTCAAATTTCTAGCCATGTAAAATGTGTAACACAATTTCAATTTCTGCTACAGAAGACAACTAATCAAACACCGATTTTAGAATGGTTTATCATTATTATTATTATTATTATTATAAGACCTCGCGAAGAAATGGCATAAAGTGTAACTCAAATTTCTAGCCATGTAAAATGTGTAACACAATTTCAATTTCTGCTACAGAAGACAACTAATCAAACACCGATTTTAGAATGGTTTATCATTATTATTATTATTATAAGACCTCACGAAGAAATGGCATAAAGTGTAACACAAATTTCTAGCCATGTAAAATGTGTAACACAATTTCAATTTCTGCTACAGAAGACAACTAATCAAATACCGATTGTAGTATGGTTTATTATTATTATTATTGATTGGGCAAAATGTGTAACACAAATTTCTGATATAAAACGTAACTTTTTCTATAGATTCTAAAGTGCTGATTTCAAATATTATAAATTATTATTATCACTATTATTATTATTATTTCAAAACCTCATAAAGAAATGGCATAAAGTGTGACACAATTTTTTTATATCAAACAGAACTTTTCTAAAGACTTTGAACTGCTAATTTTAAATATTTTAAATTATTATTATTGTATTGAACTATAAATTGAAACTAAAATTTCTATATCCATTTAACCCAAAATTATTTTCCATTATTCTTTCTGTTATTAATGCTAAAGAAAAATGTTTTTCCTATATGGATGGTGCATTTTTGTATTTTTTTATTTTAATTTATTTTACTTTCTATTCTGTTCTATTTTTTGGAGAATCAAGCTTCGTGATCTTTTTTTTTTGCCTCCCCTCTAGGCTTTTCGACATATTTAAATATCGCGCAATATCGTAGAAGCCGAATTATTGCAGAACCATGAGTGAACAAAAGATAAAAACATGTTGAAATTCAATTCCTCAAAATCAATAAAATTTTTATTTAATAACAAATTTTTAAAGCAAAATAAGTAGGGAAAATGAAAAAGTGCAAACTTGAAGCTATTTACACTGACTTTCATTTTCTTTAGACAAAAAGTATTTAAATATTTAATAAAAAAATAATTGACTTCTTATTTTAAAAATAAAATATCAAATATAGAAGTAAAATATCATATTGATTATAAATTTTTGAATAATCTTTATTTTTATTTAAGATATTTTTTATGAGAAATATAATTTCAAAATAATTTCAGAACCAACACATTAACATTAGACACAAACTCTATCAATCTAAGTATTCAAACAAATGGATTATATACGTTACAAGTTACTAACATTCTTAATTAACATTCTTCAACTGTGAAATATGCCTATAATAATTAACTGAATCATTTATTGATGATGTTTCATTTGAAATGAAAACAAACCATGCGTTTAACTGTTTGAACTACACATAGGCTATAAATACTAATCGATTAGTGTCATTTATTAATGAAAAATGAGTACTCGCCTCTTGAACTACGTGATGATCAAAGGATTGAGCTGGCTGCAAGATCATCCCTCGAACAAGAGCATCAAAACTGCCTTTTTCATAAAGAATAGACGGGTCGTAACTGTGACTGAGACTGCTATTATACCTCGCTGCCTGAGCAGTATACATTTCCACTGAACTCTGCCACAAATAAATTAAGAAGCATCTTTTGAAAATCATAAGAATCAAGAATAATAGTCTCTTCATAACTGTTTATATTATACTAAAAAACTATTTATTGATAAATATGTTCAGTTCAAAATTAACAGGCCCCATCTGTCACAGGATGATTAAAAAATCCTCTCCTAGTCACCACCCGAAGGTTTCTTTTTTTGTCGAAAATGCACATAATGTGCACATTTTACTATTATTATTATTTTAATAAATATGAAATTCATAAGAATATTTTATAATACCCTGAAAATTACTTTACTTCACGCTAGCTTCTTAAACTCTTTTTTTGTTTTTGAAATGAACCTGGCACACTGTTAGAATTTTTAAAAAATTACGGTAAAGTAAACGGAAGCAGTCTGTCCATCCATAAAGCAGTAAAGTTTTTTATTTCCAATGAGCTACACAAGTGCGCACACAAGAGCAGACCTAGTGCGTTCTCCAGAAGTGGTATTCACTCTTTCAGGACCACCACAATGGGTGAGATACCGTTGGCCATGTTAATTTGGACGTCTAGTTTCTGCCTCACTAGATGGCAGCACCGAGACTCTTATTTGGATGCTAAAGTAAAACAGTAAAGTTTACAGCAAAAAACATTTTTTTTACTTTTACGGTTTTGAAACCGTTTAGAACTGGTATGGTTAAGAAACCATGAATACAAAATTATACGGTTTTTTAACCATTTAAAACTAGCATGAAAATTCTAGACTTTTATATGATAAGCAGCTTTATGATGCTGCCATCTATACGTGAATTAAAGCATGAAGTTCTAATAGTTTAGGGTCGCAATTTATAAGAGTGCAAGGCACTGAAGACTCTTCATATGAAGGGAATGGAGCAAAGATAGTGATACCAACGCTGGGACTCGAACATCGGTTTTGTCGGTCATAAAATTGACACATTAGCCCTCTTGGCTATAATATGTACCCAACAGCAAGGAACTTAAGTGTTTTCATTAGATCGGCCTAGTTAGTGCCATGAAATTCCGGTTATTTAACCCTATTTGGTAAAGCAGTTACTGAACGGTTTTCTCACAGTCAGCAGTTTGAATACCATCTTATTTATAGTTATTTGAATATTTTGTTTGAATATGGTAAAATAACAGTTAAATGAATTGTTATTTAACTATTTTTTCCAAGAAATTTTTAACAATGTAATGTTTATCATATTTTGAGAAATGTTGTTGATATGGTAATTTCAAATTTGTCATTCGTTTTTGTTCATCGCATAATAGATTTTTAAAACTGCTTTTGAAAATTTAGAGAAATAATGCTTTATATACTATGCAAATGCATTTCTAGGATTTAAAAAAAAGTAAAGTAAGCACGAAGTTTCGTATGAAAAATTTCTTTAATCTTTGCATTATATTCAGAATCCACATTACTGAATCGTTTACTGTTATTAGTACAAAAGCATATGATTCTGTATATTCAGCAATGGTCACAGAAAGTCTAGTTTTTAAGGTTTTGCAGTACTTTTGTTTTGAGTAGTCCATGTTTTTTTTCCAATGACCAACTGGATAATGACCTAGGTCATACAGGCACCTGAAGGGCAGATTTGTTGGCCACTCTTTCAAGGGTACCATATAAGGTGAGCCAACGTTTCTCCCACTGTAAGGACAGATAGTACAGAGAAGGAAAGAACATCCATGCCTTGCGCGGGATTCAAACCCAGAACCTTTCTGATGCAAGGGCAGTTCCCTAACCCCTACACAGGCCGGTCGTCTGAGTAGTCCATGTAAAAGCAGATCTTTGTGTAACTTACGGCTGTTCTCTACGTAGCGACCTGATGTAAGGTGAACGAGTAATTCAACTGATGGTGTTTATCTTTAGTAATATTAACAATTTTTTTTCTCGTTTAAAACTTTCAATTTTTGAGAATATGGCCACGGTCAGAAGTAAAATTTCCTAATTTTGCCCTATACTTATAGGACAAAGTTTATATAGTTAATTTATATGTGTAAATAATAGTGAAGTTATTGAAGCAATCAATTAGCATTTTACAGTTATGCATTATATAAATTAAAAATTTTTTTACTTACTTGTACTAATGTGTGCCCAAATCTGTTCGCTGCTGAAGCAAATGAATTGGTAATACCAGCATTTAAATCCTGATCATAATCAAAACTATAACCAGTTAATTTTGGAGTCAGTTCGTAGGCTGACATTACTCTATTGCCTGAAACAAAGCATTCTTTAAAGAATCGATACATTGATTATTTTCAGAACTTCGATGATGCATTGAAAAACAATTCAGAGTATGGTGTACCAATCTTTCATAATTGCTACAGCTTTAAAATCAGATTAATTTGAAAGTTTCGTTGTATCATATTTTCTCGCAATAAACTGTGTTTTAATTTCAATGGCCTTTTCTTAAACATTTTATTATAATAAAATTGTATAGCGAGTGACTTAAATAGAAACAACTAAATAGGGCTTGAAAGAAATACAGGGTGTCGCAAAATTCATCTAGTATTCATAGTAAGCAGAAAATTTTTATTAAAAATTAAGACTTTTCAATTGATTCTTAAGGTGTACAGCATAGGATTGTATATGAAACAACATATATACACACTCTCTTTCATTGACCATTTTGCATAAATGTGTTTGAATTTCATTGATGCGGCATCTAATTTTAACACGTTGAATGCCATGGGGGTCACCGGTGACCAGCACTGAGTTTGTTCGTAGCGCTACGGGAGTCACCGGTGATCGGCGAAGCCAAGATTATTGGAAGCACATAATTCAAGTAAATTTTTAATGCTTTTAATTTTTTAATATTATTATCATTGCTATTTAAATGGTTTGAAGAAATTAATGCAATACATACTGAGAAAATCATTTTGACCAGATAGGCAAGCCATGTAAAATTAGCGTGGCATTCAACGTGTTAACCTTCAAAGTGTGAGAAATCATAAGCTTTCTGTCATAAACCTTGGGCCTCAAAACAAGCCAAAGTAAATATTGAAACCAAATTACATAATTACATAATTTGGTTGGACTTCCAAGCACTACATACAAAACTTACACGACCAGAAAATGACACAACTAAGTTCAACAATCAAAAACGTTATTCTTTCGTGTAGAGCTCCCTTTTTTAGTAACCCTGACTTACCAAAAAAGCACATCAATGGAAAAACGTTACTCTTTTCTTTTGTTTTGGGTTCCATTTAAGTAACCCTGACCTAACAGCGTAGCTCAAGAATGAAAAAACGATACTCTTTCGCATAGTGCATCCTTTTTAGTAATCGTCAGGATGCACAGCAATGAAAAAAAAAAAAATTTTTTTGTCGGGCTTCTTTTTTTATTTATAAGCAGCTTAACCCTGTTTAACCAGCAGTAACTGTTTTTTTTTTGTTTTTTTGTAACAAAATTCGTACAAAATGGTGCAAAATTGTAATCTTGCGCGAACTTTGGGGCGCTGTTCATTAACATTTAACTATATTAGACTAGTTTCTTTTTTTTTTATTTCAAAATTAAAATTTCTTCAAAAAAAAAATATTTTTATACATAAGAGAGTATATTGAAGAAATTCAAACTCTGGGAACTAAGTGCTTACTCGGCTTTCAAAACGAATCTATATCATTTCGAAATATTCTAACAATCTTTTTCAAATTCAATCTCCATCAGAAGTAAATTCTTTTCTTTTATAAGATATTTTAACAAACAAAAATACTCGAGCTCCACCTTGTACCTATTTCCATATTTTTCTCATTAAATTCCAGCGATCGCAAAATCAACAAATTAAACCTTTATAATATTCAATATTTTGTTCGAAAAACGTATTTCATTTCTCCGATCATTATTCATTTAAAATCATCAGTTTGTTAGAAAATAAATTACCTTAAGCTCAAAAACAATTTGTTCCTAAAAAGTATTTAAATCTGTTTAAATGATTACACATTTTCTGAAAATCAGAGACTTGCAATATAACGTGTTAAGAATTATAATCACTAGTTATGGTTTCATTAGAGTATATTTTAAGCTATGAGTATAAAATAAAAAAATATATAAATGTAGACAAAAAGTTTGAAAGTAAATACTTTCAGAAATCAAATTTAATGAAACGTTTTATGCAACATTTTTTTTTAAAATTCGAACGAATTTTAATAGTTGTGGTATAAAAGCGGGATCTTTCAGATAAGTCTTTTTCGGGGTGTTCTATAATGACTGTCTTTAATATATATTTTTAGAATCTTTCGAAAAAGTCGAGAGTGGTAAAAAGTTGCTATCTAAATCAGCTCCAGTTTCAAACAGCAATCAAATAAGTTTTGGAAGTTTTAATCTTATTTATACAGATTTGTTAGTATTTATGTTTTTTTAACTTAAAACAATAATTTTGCCCCTTAGTATTTTCTATTTTGACAGGAAATCTAAAAATATCTGTTAAGGACAGTGATTACTTAAAATCTTATATATTTCAAATGCATAACTAAAACTAAAGCATAGATCCAAATTCAATATTTTAAATTTTTCGCAAATGCCTTAAAATATATTTCTGGTATTCTATAAAATGAGGCATTCTCATAACAACTTGTTGGGGGGGGGGCAATGGGGCCTTTGGGATCATCTAAAATTGCGCACCTTCGTGACCAACGTCATAACAGTGGAAATGTGATCAGCATTGTATCTCGTATTCTATTTATTCTATTGTACAATCAATAATTTTTTTAAATCCTCTCAAATTCTTGTCAGTATAATAAATTACAATTATCATAGGTTGTTTCTCGGTTTAACAAAAATGACAAGTGCATCAATCCACGATTTTCAAACAACACTATATTCGCTGTTCATATTTCTCCCGTTTGCTCTAAATTTTTCAAAAATATTTTTGCATTAATATTAAAACATATGAAATTGCCCGAAAATTATTAAAACAAATCCTGTCTAAAAACTTTTTGCTTCATTTTAAAAAAAACTAAAAAATTCCTAAAATTTTAGAAAGCTAAGAAAGAGTCAAAAAATAATTAAAAACTGAAATTATGCATATTTCACAGTTTAAATTTAACAACAAAATTTTTAATTACTAGCTACAAGCTGAATATAACTTAAATAAACAAGTGAAATTGCTTAATATGGTTTTCTTACATTATATTAAACAAATGCTTTTTTGCAAGCTGATATTAATACTATATTTTAAAAGTAAAAAAAAAGAATACTTCAAACTATGACTGTTACCGAATAACAACTGTGGATGAACTTAGGATGTAGTTTTAGAACAATCGGTTAATTTAATCTAAAAGGGCTAGTAGATTAAATTAACGTATCCGACTAGTTTCGACAATTTTTTCTTAACTATAGATAAAAAATTTAAAAAATGTGTGTATAAACTTACAAAGCTAGCAAAAAATCATTCTTCATTTATTGTTTTTTTAAATGATCATTTTTAGGTAAAAATAAGACATTTTTTTACATACTCTGTAAAAAAGTCTATAGTCCAAAATAAAAAATCCTATGAGAATTTTATTTAGAAGGTTATGAACTTTTTTGTAAAAACAAGTATATATACTACTGAGTTAGGAATCAAAATTTTGAAAAAATCTAGTTTTTTAATATTTCCACACTCGACTTAGCGAAAAAACGTGCATTTAAAAAAATTTTACTTTTTTCTCTTAGTCTGTAATTCAAAACATGCGTTCTATAACCATAAATACTCATGAAAAATTGTAGATAATTATTGCAAAAACAACATGATATATCGTGTTTAAAGTGGTGTAAAATGTGAAAAAAAAATTGATTTTGTGATAAACGCATTTGAAGACTAAAAATCACTGTCTATCCAACGTTATTACCTTGTACAAAAACTGCTATAACTTCGGAAATAATTAGAGTGCAAAGAAAAATAAAGTACTTTTAGAAAGCTAAGAGTTTAGGGATTTAAAGTTTATAAACTCGATTTGTAAGCTTTTGTTCAAAATTTTGACCAGTCAGTTACCTTAATAATAATAAAAATAGAAAAAAAATTAAAAAAATCAATGAAATGCATGCATATGATTGAAACCATTACTACAGAGGAAAATAAAGCTTTTTATTAATGAATTTTTTTTCATAAAGAAAAGTACGAAATCGATACTTTCTAGAAAACAATGAATCACTTAGAATCGCATTAAATCTTATTTTAATTTCCATTTCAAAGAACTTTTTTTTTAGAAAATACATTCCATTGAGGATATTTTTTTGAAATTTATCCCTCATTCATATCCAAATAAATTCATTTATTAAGGCTATGCATTTTAAATATCTCATGATGAAGTAAGTTTTGGAAGGTTTTATGGGTTTTTTTTAGCCTCATTATCATACATAATTAGATCATCAACTTAATGCAAAAGAAACTTCCAGCACAGAAAAACACCATCAATTTTCGAAATATTATTAGCAATTGATGTTGCGCCATCTATTGTCTAGAAATGAAACTATGCTTTCATTGCATACTTATTATCAAAATTATCTTTTGAACAGTATTATCTTTCATAACTTATTAAGGCGTCAAAATAGTAAAGACACTGTTACAAATGCTTGAAAACAAATATTTAAAAACCGAATCTATTTACTTATCTATTATTTTCTTTAAAATGATGTCAACTTCCTAAATGTAATTGATACTTCTAGTTCTCATTAGATACCAAGTGTCTTGCTACTTTAATGCAATTGGTTAAAATTTTGAACTACTTAATGCGAATAATTGAAAGTTCGCATAATATGTGTTACATGCACTTTAAGATTTAAAATAATTAAACTCGAATATTTTTGAATCATGAAAATAAATTCTATTGCTTTACTTCCAGCATTTAAAAAAATTTATTTTCGGGTATTAAATAAATTTCTAACAACAGGTTAGTAATTATTTTACTGTAAATAAAAGTAAATATGTTAAAATCTTTCAAAAAAGTTCTCATCAGCATTTTTTTTCCTCATAAAATTCAACCTTTACAAGCACCAATACAAAATAATAGTTTTTGACCATTTGCCCATTTCCGTCTATTTTGAGCCAAATAAGTGGTATTTTTAAGCTCCAATTTCGTTGCTACATACAAACATTAAGCCAACATGAAAAAAATATATGAAAAAAAAAAACTTTTTTTAAAAAAACGGTTATTTTTAACCCACTAGTGCACACTAAATCTTTTATACGAAAATTTTTTGTCCTCAATATTTTTGAAAAGTTTTTTAAGCAAAACCATCATTTGTTATATGTTATCCCTTAAAGTAAAATCTGAATTTATACAGACAAAATTTTAAAAAATTAAGCTTTTTATAGTTTTCTAATTGCTTCAGTGACGATCAGACTTTTTTTTCAGAAATATATTCACAATATATTCCAAATGTATAGGTTCAAAATTTTTATTTTAAAATTTTGTACACAGCTTAAAATTCTAACATTGCTATAAATTTTCTGTACTAACTGACCACTTGGAGAGGTGATAAATAAAAACTACTACGACCTAAATAAAAACTACTACGATAAATAGAAACTACTACGATTTTTCGAAATTAAAATTGCCAGTTTTATGGTCAAAAGTATCTGTTGACACCATATGTCTCAAAAATAACTAACCATGTTGAATTGAAATGAAAAAAAAAACGAACGAAAATGGAAATATACGCTTTGCTGTATTTTGGTTTGGTAACCAGATATTTTACTCTTAACACGTCTCAAAATTAGTTACAAAATTTATTTATGATGGATTACGCTGATGAATAAGAAACTACAAAACAATGTTTTCAAAAGAAATATCTCCTGCAGCAATATCATGGTCTAATCAGAGAATAAAATTAAATAACACTTGTGCAAACATTTCAGTTTGAAAGATCTGGCAAGCAGTAAAATAATGCTTTATAGTTTATCAAGTAAGCGCCACTTTTTTGAAAAATTTGTAACTAATTTTCAAACTTGTTTAGGATAAATTTCTATTTACCTAACCATAACGTAACTGATCATTTCCATTTCATTTTTCTTTAATTATCTTTTCAAGTAGTCGGTCACTTAATGAACACTTAGTAAAGGGGAAGTAATAGGTTTACCTTTTATAAGAAAAAATACTCTTCATTATTACCTAAAAGTAGAGGTAGGAATTCACTGTATGTAATATGTTGAATTTCAGCGCAAAGTAAGCGTCTGGCTTCGTGGAAGAGTATCTCGTCGTTCCATCCTGGATTCAGTTTAGAAAGTAGATCTGCCAATCGGTTGTGCTCTCTTAGCATTAATCCGTGCATAACACTGAGAAGAATATTTTGATTGGATCGTTTGTCACCTACAGAAATATATATTGTATCGATATAATTGTGAATAAATTGATTTTCCTACCTTTAATGAAATTATATACAGGTTATTCATAATTCCCTCCGGGGTTTCGAAGCGTTATAGTAAAAAAACGAAGACGAATATGGCAAAAAAGAACATATGAAATTATTCCGTAAGTATTCAAGTTTTAATTTAAGCAGCTGCCGGTAGATGGAAGTAGCATGTACCACTGAAGCCAGTTGTAGTAAAGATAAGGTTGTAGTAAACGAAGGGAATTATGAATAACCCTGTATAGAAGATGCTTAAGTACCATTTATAGATTAAGTAGTACCATTTCAAAGATCAAAGATTCAATCTCAAATTAGGTCCATGGCGAAAATAATTCTGGTAAAATTACCGCACTATATGGTAAGGATATTACTGGTAAAAAAAAACATAATTCTGATCATAAAACCAAAATATACGGTATTTAACCATTGATTTTGTAATTTTTCTATTCATAAATTGTAACGGTCTATCGGAAATTCTAGTTTTCAAAATTGTAATTCTTATTAACCACACGTTTAGTGAAACATACGTATGCTCTAAAGTACCATGGCGAATTGCCAAATTTGACCTCATTTACCAAATTTTAACGCATATTATAAAACGCTATTTTATTGTTAATTTTACCAAAATCATTACCAAAGTGCTTCGATAAAAACTATCGAGTTTTTGCTGTTCCCATAGAGCCGGAAATAAGGTAAATTTATCATATTCTGATAATTTTGAACATACGTTTTTTCTCAGTGTAAACAGTTTTCCTTTTTTTTTTTTTTTTTTTTTTTTTTTTTTTTTTTTTTTTTTTTTTTTTTTTTTTTT